TAATAGTAATTTTATTTAAAAGTTGATGGAAAAATTAAGAATTTGAATTTTCTTAATTTTAATTTTAAAAAAATAATATTTATTTACTTGATAATTCGATAAATTAGTATGATTATTATATATATATATATATACATATATATAATATATATACATATTATATATGATATATTAGTAATAATTTAAAAAATTAGTATATGATTTAAAAATATTAAGATTACATATTTTAAGTTCACAAAAAACAGAAAAAATCTTTATTAAAAATATTAAAAGATTATTATATATAAGTTTATTATAATATTATAAATATTAGATAAATGAAAATTCAACATATTTTTTTTTCCAAAGTTTGTATTGTGAAATATTTTCATAAGAATCTAAAATTTTGTTGAAATATTTATTTTTTTTCTTAAGCATCAAGTTAATCTGTTTAGAAATCGGAGATACCATAAATATTTCAAATACGGTGCAATGCTTTCACGATAATCTTCATTTCACTTCAAGTAATGAAATGTTCTTCATTCCATATACATATACTATTTTTTACATAAGTGTTAAATTATGAAAGTGAATCAGATATAAAAAATTTCTAATGTAAAAAAATGATGTTTTTAATATATATTACATTTTTATCAAAATTTTTATTTATTTCTACATATCAAATGAAGATATCTTATTAAATTATACTAATTTATTGTTGAAATTTATTAATTATTCATCATGCATTTAACTTATTCGCTTTTTATGCGAAATAATTTTTTTTATTTATGATATAATATGCAATATTGTAAAATATAATGATTATAAATTTGCAAATTAATTTTCTTTCTTCTGTATCCAAAACATTTAGTATTCAATGGAATGAAGAATTTATTGCGATATTATTCATGAAATTGAAATATCTATTTCTTTCAATCTTTCTTTCATTTTGGTAATTATTTCTTCATGTTTTTTTAAAATATAAAAAATTATTATTATTATTATTATTTATTATTTTTTAAAATATAAAGAAAGTTATATCTGTTAAATAATTAAATATCTATAAAAAATATTTATAAAAAATATATTATTAAATTAAATTAAAAATATATATTCATAATTATATTATGA